CACGGCACGGACTGTAGTGACGGATTCACCTCCATAATTCCAAATGCCCGGTGAGTGTTACCAGGTCGAAACACAAGGGAGAAATGAGAATGAGATCAATGATTATCATTATATTTTTATAAGATTCAAACAAAAATTTTAAAGTTTTGTACAATGCTATTTTATATTTCTTCATTACAATAATTAAAAGATAATTATTATTATCAGTCTGGCCTTTCAGGGTAAAGAAATGCCATGAAGGGAAAGGGCCATCAATTCAACTTTATTTTTATTGTATTCTTTAAAAATGTTAGTCCAAGCTTATTACTATATCACTTCGAAGGATATTCTTATGGCACCATTTTTGCATAAATTTCACTATGCAGTACTTCGACCCCTACTATTGAGATAAAATAATTTGCTCAATAATTTTTTTTTTCGAGAGACGACTGTTTCGATTATGAAAAATGAGTTTGTTGCTGTTCTGTTACATTCTTCACGAACGAAGAAACAATTTTAAACTTTCACGTTTCGTACCTAGGTAAATTTAAAAGTATATGGATAAAAGATTAGGTAAATTGAAACATCAAGGATAAATTTTCATTTTTTGGAACAATATTCTTTATTTTTGTGCTGATACTCGGCGGTTTTTTTATACGTGGCTTTTAGTTTATAGCATAATATAGCCTCTGTATCTTGACGTAATTTTTGTTATAGGGAAAATTCAATACCCTGTATTTTGGTGCAGCCTTATAACCTACACATAGCATTTTTTAATAACGTTCAGTTTTTGTTTTCGAGACTCTCGAAATTTCGAGAGTCTGTGTATTTTTGTTGGTCATTTTCACTATCCGTTCCTGTTTTTTATAAACTCAATAAATCTTATGAGTATACCTATATGAACTATATTGTATGATACTTGTGAGTATTTTCAAACTGAGAATCAGGAATATTACGAAGCTCATTTCAAACGTAACCGTGATAGCCACTATTTGGCGATACGTCGAATAAATGGTGACGTCAGCTTTTATGCTGTCTCGTTATTGGTCAGATAATATTCCATTCCCACTCACGAAGCAGGGTTGTCAAGTCACCAATTATAATCAAGTTATCAAAAATATGTAAGAGTCCTGTCGTTGAATAAAACATAATAGGAGGAACCGAGGGAGGAACCCATAATATTATAGTTCATTCTTTATTCCTTCGAGCAACCAGCATGTCCAAATGTTTCTAATACTCAATAACAAAATTTCAGGTGAATATTGGAGACTTGGCAACATTGTGCTGAATGCTGAGAAAAGGACAAGACCACACCCACAAGTCGTACGCGCGCGGTGTTGTCACGTTCACCGCTTCAAATGTCCTCTAGTATGAATTAATATAAATACTATTTACACTAATATGTATTATAAGCAATAAGCCACAAATCATAAGGGAACATTTTGAGAAAATTGATTTTGTATTGATAAATAGGAATATTACCAATTGAGAATCCATTAATGTTTGAACAATGACGGCTAAATATCTGGACTGTCTGACGAGTGCCCCGTCAGACAGTCCCGATCAGTGACGGCTCGTCAGGGACGGCAGGGTCGGCCGGGCCGTACCAAATAATTTGGGGAAAATTACTGAACTATTTGATGAATAAAATTATTTTCCGAAACTGTTTTCATAATTCATCGCTCATTATCCTACTGTTATGCCACTATTATTTGAATTTCATTCATGGAACCTTTGAGTATGCCATCCGCATATACACCGAAAATCACGAACTAATTCAGGACCTACGACATCTGGTAATCCCATCGTCAAAACGCCGCTTTCAGTTGAACCGCTCGCGTAGCTCATTACACTGATGCAGACGGCCGGCCGATCGGTGATTTCTTGTCTCGACGCATCGCCACAGGCATCGCCTACAGATTTCCCGCTTCAAGTTTAAATTTTCGCTTATACGCGTCATACCTTGGGTGCGGCCAAGCTCTGCTGGCCGTCCAACGTATCATCGTACTTATCAGTATCAGTTGTTTGCAGTGCGCTCGCTGTGCACCGTATCGAACCATTCCGACCTAATTTTTAATATACGGATTGGCATGATTGACATTCTATTTTCATTTTACATTGTAGGTATTTATAATTTTAATTCCTATACTTATTTGTAAGTTGATGTTGGAATTTGAAATGTACAAACTGAAAAGAAAAATAATTTCCATGTTTTTGTTTACGCTTGCAGTAGGTGCAGTAAAAATGACTGGTGATTTTTGAATTTGCAATTTTTCAGTAATTCATAATTCAACATATCCATCTAATATTGGTATCAGAATTTTCCTTCAGTGCTTCTGAGCGTCAATAAGTTATAATTCAATTTGAATATTACTGTAATGTAACCTACTGTGCCTCTGCCTATGTAGGTAATATGGCAAGAAAAATGTCAGCAGTCCAAGAGCTGAGTAGGTATTGAAACATCGTAAAAAAGCTCTGGTGACGAAAATGTAATAAATGTATAACTTCCAGAATATCATTTATTTTCAAAGACGCATGTAGCGGTTATAAACTACCTAAATAATATTTATGCATCCATCGCATCGCGGGAAACAATACCTACGGCTGCACCCTGCACGCGGGCTCGGCCAGCCGACTACGAAGGAGTGGGGTCAGTGGGGTGGCTTGTTACAGGAACGGCGTAGACCAATTAGTCATTGTTGTGCTACTCGCGTTAGGTGAGTGGTTGTCGGTTATGTTGATTTTTTTGAGTTTATATTACGTTTTCAACAGAATATAAATATTTTTTGTTCACGAGTTATTTTATTTTTATTTTCTTTCATTTTATTTTTTCGACTTTCTTGTTATTATTTTTTCATACCAACTAACCCTTATCCACCTCCTTTTTCTTTCTCCATTTCCCCTGGCGAGAATGCTCTAACCTCGTGGTTCTTGCTGGACAATTTAATTTTTTGGTTATGTGTACAGGGTGATTCACCATAAATGTCCCTCCCTCTAGCTCAATTATTTTTAAACCGATTTCAAAATTTTAAATATCATCTTGAATGATTTTTTATTGAGTTTTTTTCCGCTACATCAGAAAATACAGGGTGCTCAGAACAAACGATCTACAGGGTACCATTTGATTTTTTTATATGGAACACCCTATTTTTCATTGTATTTTTAGATTCTCCCTGAAAAGCTGATTTGCTCAATGTATCACACTTGGGGTCTATCGGGAATGATTACAGAGATATAGGGTGTTCAAAATCGAGATTTTTCAACTTTAGGATTTTTTTGAGACGAAACTATTCATCATCGGTCAAAACGGCTTTCATGTCCATATCTCAACTTTTGATTTACAATCTACTGACATTTAATAATTGGAACAGATACAGGGTGATCAGAATTCTGAATCTTGAACCACCCTGTAAATGTTCCAATCAAATCTCAATAGACAGTCAATCAAAAATAAAGATGGAAACATAGGAGCCGTTTCGACCAATAATGAATAGTTTCGAGACAAAAAAATCCTAAACTTGAAAAATCTCGATTTTGAACACCCTATATCTCTGTTATCATTCCCGCTAGACCCCAAGTGTGATGCATTGATGAAATCAGCTCTTCAGGAAGAATCTAAAAATACAATGAAATACAGGGTGTTCGATTTGGAAAAATCGAGTAGTACCCTGTAGATCATTTGTTCCGAGCACCCTGTATTTCCTGATGCAACGGGAAAAAAATTCTGAGAAATCATTTTAGATCATCCTTCAAATTTTTAAATCGGGTCAAAAATAAGTGAGCTAAAGGGAGAAAGGACAATTATGGTGAATCACCCTGTACATGCTTATTTGCCATCGAACTTCACTCAAGCCGCTGACCCACTTACGTTCGCATTTTAGAGCAATATCTATACCCTGGCCGACCCAGGTTCTGAGGGCACGAGCCGTCACTGGTCCCGATATTTAGCCGTCATTGGTAAGGGTACAGTCCAGATATTTAGCCGTCATTGGTTTGAATAACTAATATTTCTGAAGGTACCAATCGTATTTCAACCTCGATTTCAACACATGGCAACTTTGCTATGGTCGCGGTAAATTTCTATCCGTTTGAAAATTACCTTGATGGCATTATTGATGATTCAAGCACCTGAAAATCGACTTTGCTAACCAGTAGATTTCAAGAGGTCTTCCAGTTGTTTGTCCACCGAGGTCATCTGACCCCAATTATCTTTCATGAGAAGTCTGGTTCAAATGAACCACTAACCAGAGAAAAGCTAATTCAAAATATTGACTACAGCTGCATCCATAAGAGACGACCCAGACACTCTTCAGTGTAAGTGATCAAAATATTCAAAATTGATAAAATATTTCATTACTTTATTCAAAATTCTTTCTGCTTCATTACCGAGGGGTAAACCGCGATGGAATTCTGGTGTACAAACAACTGGAATTCCTTGGAATTCTTTGGATTTCCTTGGATGTCCTTGGATTTCCTTGGATTTCCTTGGATTTCCTTGGAATTCCTTGGATTTCCTTGGAATTCCTTGGATTTCCTTGGAATTCCTTGGATTTTCTTTGATTTCCTTGGAATTCCTTGGATTTCCATGGAATTTTTTGGATTCCCTTGGATTTCCTTGGATTCTTTGATATTCCCTGGAATTTCTTGGAGTTTCTTGGAATTTCCTGTGTGAAGTGCGGTATAATTCTGGTGTACAAACAACTGAAATTCTTTGGAATTCCTTGAAATTCCTTGGAATCACTTGTGAAATTGAAGTTTGGTGTAGACAATAAGTTTACCCCTCGTTCAATACAAATTCTGTTAAATTTAATATTACTCATTACTCCTCAACTATAGAGTATTTTGGAAAAAAGTGTATAACGTACTATCGACCATCAGCCCATGTGTGTTTCGTGTAGGCTTTGGTACTAACTCCATACGCTACCTTAGTAGCAGCACTGTTACTTGGAACGCAACAGCGAATCGTGCGGAATAAAAATAACAAAGATATTTACAAATATATAAGATTATTGAATCATTACCTTGCATCCTTCACAGGTGAATGCTCCAAAATGAAATCCAGCTGCAGGTTCGCCACATACCTTGCAAAGCTGGTTCATCTGAAAAATAAAAAATATTTATACAGGGCGATATACAAGGGTGTCTCGAAATTACATAGAAAGATTTCAACCAAAGATTCTTGGAACAGAAATAGTAAAAAAAGTACACATGAACATGAGCCCAAGAATGCTTCGCTTGGGAGTTATACAGGGTGCTTCTTAAGTACTTGTAGAAAATTCAGGAGCATGTTGCTGACGTCAAAATAAGAAGAAAAAATCATATAAACATATGTCCGAAAGTTCCTTACTTAATAAATCAATTTTGAATTCCACCTTCTTGTCATTCCAAATTACTTTCATGGATTATTTCGAATCCCAATAACTCGAAAACAGTTGCTCGCAGCGACCTCCACCAAGATTATATTTTTCTATTTTTCTACTATGAAACGTTAGACAGGTACGCACGAAAAAGTTATGACTTTTCAGAAGACTAAAAAGACATGTAGGTGGCGCCACCCCAACGAAAGAGACGAAGTAACATAAAATTTGATATTGCCATTGAAAAATACCCCTAGATACCAAATTGTATTCCAGTATCACAATTATTTTGAAATTTATCGACAAAAAACAAAAATAAGAATTCAACTTCGACACTCTGTATCTCAGAAGCGAATAACTTTCGGACATATATTTATATACGAACTTTTCTTCTTAGTTTGACGTCTGCAACATGCTCCTGAATTTTCTACACGTTAGGGGCCCGAGTTGATGGTTTTTTGTAAATATTTTCGAAACTCTTTGTGTTGAAATAACGAAATTTTTTCTACAAACGCTTAACAAAGTAACCATTGACGCTTTCAAATTCCAGCACAAAGTTGACGTTTTCCCAGAAATGTCATTCTTTGACAGCATTTGCGCTCGTGAGCGGAAATATTGAAAAAACGCTCGCACATCTCTGTAACCTATAGTTATCTATTCTTGAAAACCCCCAATGATGGAAAATAGTGACAGTGAATCATCAAACACACCTCCTTCCTGATGATATAGCAGGAAGCGCAAGAGTTTATCTCTTACCGGTGAAGTCAAGGAAGAAAAATATGAATTACAATATGATACATTCATAAATTGGTGCCACTCCGAGATGGTGAATATGTATTCAGAAAACGTTTTACTCGCTCATTTTGGTAAATAATCGAAGACTTTGAAGTCATCAACTCATTGGTCTATACATATATTCGATGGTACGTATATACATGCTTGAATGTTAAAGATAATATCGGAATCAATAAGTATCTGAAACTTATCGCATTTCTCAAGAAACAATCTATTGGATATAAAGCGAGAAAAATCCAAAACATTCACCGCTGAAGAAATATATCAACAAATTTCTACAAGAAGCTTCCGATGAAGCATATCTGTTGAAAACGATGAATTATACTTTATATTTAAACTCTTTGTTGTCATCAAAAAGACAGTGTAAGTATCTTTATTTTATCGCATCAATGAGTAATGTTCAATTTGATTGTAGAGTTTATCGTACTATGGCTCAGAGGTCTGAAGCTCAGGTTGCCACGCTGGTGGTGTAGTTTCAATTCTCGGTAGGCCCGACATTTTTTTTCTGGCTTATTTCAATTTTTTTTTTTTGTTTCCTTTGGACATATGGGATAATATGGATAAGAACTTTCTCAACTATTTCAATCGCTCATACTTTCAGGGTAGTTATTTCCAAAAGCTGCGTTAGTAGAAAAAATCTTGTGTGTATTTCGAGCACAAAGTGTTATTGCCGCTCTCCAAAGATTACCGCGCTCCGCTCCGCATCGCGCGGTAACTTTCTTTGTCGAGCGGCAATCTGTCACTTTGCGCTTTAAATACACAAATAGCTATTGAACATGAATAATACCTACTTCTCATGCCCGATTCCGCAATGTTTAGAATTGTCCGGAATTTTGATCAGGGACGTGGAAAATAGGTGGGGCTACGGGCATTTCTTTCCCCATTTTTTTTTTCTTTGCAATTTCCGGAAATAGTACATTATACATCAAGGGACAAAAGATTTTTTCCAAGGTGCGATTTGTAGCTCAAGGGCGAAGCTATGCGGAAAATGTAAAGTTGGTATATAAACTCCCTATAGGGAGAAAATATGTCACATTATCTCCCTAGGGATTAATACGAGACTTCTGCCACTCTTTTGTTACCAGAGAAACTAACTTCTACTCCCGCCGGCGTAAAAATATAATTTTTACTTAAATAGTATATTGTGCAACAAGTGGGAAAAGTTCGACTTCTCTGAGGAGTGTGAAAGTTTGTAGCACGAGCCTGAAGTGCGAGTGATGCAAACACACGAGTGAGAAAAGTACTTTCACCCACATGTTGCACACTATACTTTTTCTACAACTGCACTTATCCAAAGAATCCAAGTAATGTAGCTTATTGGTATTCATTTCATAATGTGGCACTATGCCACATTGAATATTGTGACCAAAGAGTAGACGCCTTTTCTAGTTCCAAAAAGTACACTTTCCGAAAAAAAAACTATTTCTGTATTTTTTTAGATTATATTCATAAATTCTTCGTTAATGCCAATTCATACTTTTTTCTCGAAATTTCCGGAAACAAATCCAACTTTCGCGGCATCTTCCATTATCTCTGTCTCTGGCGGTGTATATCTATCAAAATCGTCACATCTCGGTATATACATCATATTATTTATTACTTATGAATTGTTGGAATAATATTTGATGGAAAATGAGATTTTTATCAAAAGCACTAATGAGAACTACCCTAAAGAATATAAAACACTTCTTCTGACAGTTGTCAAAGCATGAACAGCAGCCAAGTTTTGCTCGATTTTCGTTGATCCTCCATGGAAACGTATGTGGTGATGGCAAAGTGCCGTGTGAAAAAAATATATCTCACAGTAAGCTATGAGAAATGCGCTACTTTTCATAGCAGTAGTAGAAAAAATTATATTCTTGTTCAGTTTCAATATAGCACTCACCATTTTCGAGATAAATCGATTTCAAAAGTCAGCTGCATGCGTAACAGAAATAGGTAGTGCTTTTTCCTTATAATAGGGTACCAATTTTCCCAAATATAATGTTTCGATGGAAAATACCCCTTTTTCATCATCTACTCGTGATGTTTGACTGAAAATATGCAGGGCATTGCTGTCACACGGGTTGGTTGTCACAAGGCAACCAAACATACACCACGTGCATAGATCTAATTACACCACGTGCATTCATTGTTTATGCTATAACTTACGGAGTTAAACCGAAAATATGGATTTCATCAAAGAGGTTCGCCTTTTCAAGTTTCTGAAACGATTTTATTCCCTGTTTTCTAACACAAGGAATTTGATTTCCATGTTGATCATTTCGACAAATGTCACTTATGTCAGTAACAAGGCTCTGGTTGATTCTTAGTAGTTTCCGGATGAATGATGAATTCGCGAACCAAGTTTTCTTCATTGCAGGAGAAATGAGAAATATACCTCGTCGACGGAAAAATTTTGTGACGAACTCGTATATTAAAAGGCGATTAATCATTAATCCCCCTCATGCATTGATACACTAGTTGGTTGAATAACTAGGTATTATAGGTAATTATTGTCAATATTGAAAATGAGTGCTCTGCTTCGAAACTGGTTACTGGAAGTGTGGAAAAAAAGTTCAAAGCACTAATTTCAATTGGAAAATACCTCCGTTCATCATTCCTTTGCTGTACAGGGATCCGTCGATTTCATAGGGACAGTATTAATTATTGCTATGTCTCCTAAACAGTATAGAGGAGATAGACATTGATGATTTTAACATCGGCGTGCTTTCTGAGTGGTCTTGATTTGAAAAGAATAAAGGTTTAAAGTATAACACACGGACTTCTTATTTTAAGAATCAGTGAAATTTATGTAGTTTTTTCTTTTATCGAGATATCTAAAGTTGAATGCAAAAAAACGCTTGAAAAATATTCACAAGTTACTTTCATGCTATCAAGGAATCGGTATACACAACTATACCTATACTATACAATACCATGTTATATAAGATTTTCTGTTGACTGATGGTCGAGAACCAGTGGATTTACCCTGTCCTCCCTATAGGTACACACGATGTTCTACGAACATTATAGGAATTTCTTTCGTGTGCCTCAAAAAATTTAAAAAAATCGTTATAATGTATATTTCTCTGGAATATGGCAGCAATAAAATCAAGACTGATGAAGAGTCTGACAACCATAACCGGCCACCCCTATGCATCACACCAATTTACCTACAATTGCATTATTGGCCGCCGAATCATAATCCATATAGCTCCCTGGGCGCTCGAACCGGCTCGAACGGACCAACCGACGCCGTCAACTGTCTACTTACGCACTACGACGCGTCATCTCGTCACATGCCATCGCACGGTCCGCCTACCGGTAGGTCAGCCGCGATGTTACTGAACACTCCGAGCAGCATCCCATCGGCGCACCTGCCTCACCTGTGACCCGCTCATCTCAGTAGGCCGGTTGCCGATGCTGCCGGCAGAGCGCGCTAGATGCCAGTAGGCGCTGCGAGGCCCCGCCCCGACCAAGAGAGGCGGGGCTACGGCTGACCTCGAGCGGTGGCAGGGTGGGAGACCGGCCAATGAGCTCGGCGGTGGGCGGAGTCGGGTCGGGTGCGCGAGAACGGGGTGACGTCACAGATTAACAAACCTTATTATTTGTTAATCTGTTGTGACGTGCGGGGTTGGTCCTGACGTGTGATTTCATTTTATTTCTTGGAGCGCACGACAGGGAATCCTATGATCTTACTCGTTATCGCAAATTCTTAGGAACGCTTATAGATTGTAACTGAATATGGGAAGATCAAATACAAATGGTTTGTAAAAAAATCAACAAAAGCTTTTACATATTGGCAGCACTAGGAAATATTTTGAACACAGATTCATTATTACAGCCCACTAAACATGTTGTTATTCAGAGAGATGCTTAATGTCACAAATACGTTACAGGAATAGGCCTTTTAAGTATTACAATGTAATGTTGATGGTAAATATTGTATAAATATATCAGCATCAATCATATTAAATCAATGATACTTAACCTGACTTATTCTGAAATTCTATATTATATTTTCTTCTTCTAGCTATGACATATACCTAACTCACTCATTATTTTTGTTATTCGTGAAATATGATCCGTATTCACGAATTCCTTCCACTTTTTCACATATTATGAAATGCAGATACAGATTGGTTGCATTTCTATATATTCCAGCAGAACAAACCTGGAATCTAAGTAGGTATCATGAGCAATTCATATTTTCATTCGAATTTATTTGAGTCCAAGATTTGTTTAGTTCTTAACTTACTATGATAATATCTGAAAATCAACGTTTTCACTTATCACGCACTGACTTGTTCACCATAAAAGACAACAAACAAAATGGCTGGAATGGAATTGAATTGACTTTTGACAAGGTTATATACTTTACCATAGAAGGAAAAATATTATCCTCTTATATCCCCTATATACATGTTAGCTACGTTATAAGGTGATGAAACGAATAAACTTTGCACAAATAACATAACAACTCTGATGTCTGAGATAGGTATACCTATCTGATGAACCTAAAATCAACATATCACAATATTGTCTAATGATATTGAATTCAATATTGATGCAACGTCTCATGAACGTCAGTATATAGCGCTAGCGATTTATGGCTGTTTTTTTATATCTGTGCCTTATTGAATTTAACTCAGACTGAGGGGTAGGTAGGATATAGGTATCGAAATCTACCACTCAATTGGTATATTATATATAGGTATCGGCTGGCATAATTATTGTCTCGTTAGCAAATCGTGAAAGCGAGTGCAAATTTCCGTATACAGGAAGGTGCAATTTTTCAATCATTCTGCTCAGGATAGTGAATGGCACAGGTGCCGTTCGATAAACAACAATGTTTTTACATGCCTTTGGAACATAATATCATTTCGTTATCAGATGACGGTGGAATTTTGCAACCGGCTCTTGGAATACTTATGAGTATATATATATAGGTATGTGTAGTAATCAAGTTGTTTGCATTTCAATAATTATTCATCAGATACCTACCTATATATATAGGGGAGAGCGGGGGAATAGTGGCCACTGGGGTATAATAACAGCCACACAATAGTTCGCTTTTCTTTGTTAGTTGAGCCAAAAATATTGGTGCTTCCATCTACAAATAGATATTCCAACTAGTTGTGACGAAACAAACCGAATACAAGTAGAACCGTCTCCACTAATTCATTTCATTCGCTCCACAGCCGTCGACTATAACGTAAGTCGAAATAGATCGCGTGAGATATTGTCGATAAAAACAAACATTTTGAGATACAGACTCAAAAATCTCTGTGAAGTGCATTATACTTCAAGACTATAAATCGTAAGTAACTCTAGTTTCAACTGTTTTTATTTAATGAATGCCGATTGAAAGAAATGATTTTTGGGGTTATGGTGACCGCGGTCGAGTCGGGGAAATGCTGGCCGGCCACCATTACCCCATTTCTGAACGAAATGTTATATTGAATAAATAAAAATTTTCCAGATACCAAGAACTTATCGCAGGCTGACAGAAAAGGCATCTTGGACTGATGACCAATTGAGGAAAGCCATAACTGCAGTTAGAAACAACATTCCACAATCGTAACATTCACTCCAAATAAAGAAGTTTTGGAAAATAAAGCAGAGAAAAAAATACTAAAATATCACAAAAACAATCCTATAAGAGAAAAGTGTTTGGGCAAAACGGAGAAACGGACAATAATAGTAAGCAAGCGACCAAAAGAACGAAATTACCAAGAGGAAAAATGATCACCTACAGGGAAGTAAGTTCAGGAGAAGAAGATAACGATGATGGACAGGAAGACAAAGACGCCACAGGAAATATGAGGAAATATGGTTGAGATGCAGTATCTGTGGCAATTGGGCACACAAAGCGTGTGCTGACACGAAAAAAAAACTATTCACTTGTGATTATTGCATTTGAACCTATTTCAACAATTACTTATTTTAATCTTTGAGGCTATTGTGGCCACCTGCCATCGTTACCCCAACAACTTATGAAAGAAATGTTTTTGTTTTTTCCGGACATTCAATAAACGATCATCAGCAGGAATATCATGTCTATCAGTTTCCACCTTTTTGTGATCATTCGCCATGAAATAATCCAGGAATAGAAAAAATGCTTAGGGGGGCCACCATTCCCCCGCTCTTCCCTACTCATGATGAAGTTCAAAGAATCACTACTGTCATTGAATAAGAAAATTTTCGTCATTGTGTTATTAAGCTGAAGTAGGTATTAAGTTATGTTGAAGAAAAAATTAAGTATGATGAAATCGTTCGATGATGGCGTCTCTTCACATCATTAAGTACTTATTGTTTCTTTCGATCCCTGTTGATTGAACATGCATCAATCAGTATATAGAATAATTCATATACTTGATCCAAGAGCTTTGTTTGAAAATCAAATTCATTTCGTCAGCTTTTCATTCTTTCCAGTGAATATAAAACTTGAGATGAGGTGGCAATCAAGTAGGTATATATATAGATATATGTAATTTTTTCAAATAGAGGTATTATGAATCAAGCATTGCATGCTGATGCGTATGACCTGTATCCTGTATATACATGTACTAAAACTCTATTTCATCAAACACCCATTGAAATCGATCATTTTCATTGTTAGATCAAATAGAAAATATCCTGCCATTTCCAACATCAGCAGATCAGAATAATGACCTGATTGAATCAAAGTGAAAATGTGGGCATCAGAGGCCTCTGGTTTGTTGAATTTTGACTATTTTTCATGTCGAGTTAAAAAACTTCATTGTTGATCGAGTATATACCTATATATGTTTATTGATATATTGTGTGTATTTTGTAAGTATATATATTCAGTTGTTTCTATTTTTCACGTCAACAAAAATTATGGCAATAAATATTTTCAAAAAAAGCTGAACTGAAGTTTACGAGGAAGTTTCTTTTTGATGGGATATACCTAGTACTTTGAAACAAATACCTGAAGGAGTCCTTAATTCCAGACACCCTTACTCTTGGATCAAGAGTGGCATATCCTTAACCCTTAATTACTCGCGCTGGTGTATTTTGTACACCAGCGCCAAATTTCTTGCTACCATCGAACGTAGAGGGCCTCTATATATAGGTACTCGTGGTAGGAGTATGTACAGTTTCTCATGACTCACCCTGTATATATATATACAGTTCATACGTTCATTGTCATTTAGTATACTATAGAATCAATTGCCCTCAATGATGATAGCTTAATTTTCACATAGAGTTCCCAGCCAGCACAAAGAGGTCCTATATAAAGATATCTTGAAGAAATCCTTTTAGGAAATTGTGATGCCTTTTGTAACTTCTTTGAGAGATCGCCGAGAGTGCTATATCTAGGCCAAATGTCCGCCACCTAGGCTGAGCTCAGCGAGGTCTTGAAGATATCGCACGCAGAAATTCTCATACAATGCCCTCAGGCGCGCACTTTGAGATATACGCTTCCATCGCCATGGGCGATAACTGAAAGTGCTCGCAATCATGAGCTGTCTGAGGAATTCGCATACATTGCTTTGTGACGAGGACATTGGGAAATTCGCATCAATTACTGATAGCGAACTCTTCAAGTGCTCGCAACTATGAATTGTTCAAGAATCCGTGCACATCACCTTATAACGAGGCCTTCAAGAGCGATATTTGCATCAACCGCCACATGATCGCCACTAATATGGTAAGGTGTTCAATGTTTGAGAAGTAATTGGTTATCAGCAGTCTCCTGTCGGCGAAGTCTAACTAGCGCCAGCTATATTGTTTGAGGTGGAGTTAAATTTACTGGATATTTATTTCAGCGAAAAAGATTGAGTCACCAAACTTAGAGTTAGATCAACGTAATGAGCTTTAATTATATATTATTCCATAGCAAGACATTGATCAAGTAAACTTTATCACTTGAAAAAAATCTCCGAGGAGTTGGCCGGGTATCCTTTAAAAAAAAGGGTCTTCCGATATCTACCCACGAATTTGAGGTAGATATTTGATTCTCGATCCCACCTGAATTAGAACATTTTTGTCTTTTTCGTCAGAGCAGATAATTAATTATCATAAATTCACTGCAAAATTTGAAATAATCAGTAAGAAAATCTAGTAGGTATCTAGTATACAATTATTATTATCAAAGATTAATGACTCCCATTTCATGTTAATACTGGGTGTCCCAAGTTATCGTAAAGGTACCGTCAAAAACTTGGTTACTCGACAAGATGAACAAAAAATAGTAAAAATGCTTCAAATGACATCAGAGAACTTTCTTTATGACTCAAAAAAAAGTGTATAAGATTGGACAGCCACCTGGTAGCAACTCCTCAATTTTCATTTAATGGACTCCCTGTATATTGTCATTGAAAATTGCCAATCATTCTATTTCGGGAATGAACGATAGCACATCGGTACTTTGTATTTTGTTCATTAATAACAACATTAACAATAAAAATTTTTGACCTCATTTACGTTACATCGATTGAAAATTGCTTCCTCCCATGTTCGTAAAAATGTCCCACAATGAAATTAGATTAATTATTACACTAGGTAGGTACCGTCTGCAATGATTGATGACATTGATGTTCTGCAGTTCAAAATGGAATATCTGTCATTAATATTTTGAAACAAAAATGCAATCCATACTTCTTATTTGTGAACTTCTTGAACACATGGGTGAAAGCAATTTGTCATTTGAGTAACGTAAAAAAGTCACAAAATGTTCATGTTTTTGTTGTTATCAAGAACAAAACACAAAGTATGTGCTATATCGTTGTATTCCAAATAGATTGACACGCAATTTTCAGAGACAATATGCTACTAGATCAGTATCTACCATCCGGGGGCTGCCAAATATATCACATTCTTCATAAGCCATTAGGAAGGTTATTATTAAATGCCATTTAATGCAGTTTTTTAATGCTTTTGATATCTTGACAAATAGGCGAGATATTGCCTGCAAACGATAACTTGGGACACCCAGTATTTGAATTATAAAGGCTATTGAAAAAAACAGCTCAATATTTTTGTAGGAATATTCATTAATTACTCAGGTTATGTTTGTGATTACTTTAGGAGCTCGCAATGGGAAATTCTCGATCTTGTTACGTCCAGGATATCCTTGGGTGCTCGCAGAAAGAAATGCCTATTCATTTCCTGTTATAGATAACCTCAAGGATTCGCAATAATGAGGAATATATCAAATCTGAGGGGAGATCTCCGCGATTTCTTTCGGACGACTCCAGAGAGTATTTCCCATGGTGACAGCCTATAGTGATCTTTGATACCTCGCAGAAGGATTTCGCATTTTGATCCTGAAGATAACTACTTAGAGATATCGCGGAGAGTACCGTGTTACCTGGGTTATTTGGAAATATGCAATCGCAATCTTGCAATCACCTAAAACATTCTCTTCAATTTCACATTCGTTTACTTTTCGCATACATTTTTAATGAACAATTCTGACACAAACAGAAAAATTGTTTGAATAATTCTAATTCTTCTTCTTCCTTTGGGTTTATTGGATTTCTGTCACCTTTCGGTAACAATTTCTCCAGATCAGGTAATTATTTTTTTTCAAGAATATAAATATGGTTATGTAATAATATTATCTCTCGACTCGAGCACTAAAGACACCGTAGTCCGTCACCATGCCCGGAAGCCGAGTTCATCAATGTCCAAAGATTCAATCGTATGTGCTCATGCTGAGCACGTTTGATTTCAAGTATGGCCCCTTTATCCGGTGAATCCGTCACCATCCGGCCTCTATACCGGCGTAGAGATAAAAGGGCTTGATAGTTTTCACACACACTTATTAAACTTCACAATAAATATTGGATTTTAATCCAGATCAGGTAATTAGAAAAATCATAGACTTGCACACACATTAACCTGACTTTTGACCTGGAGACGCCATGTGTCCCCTACCATGGTCAAAAGGCGAATCCAAATAATTCTAATTGCAACAAAATTCGAAAATGACAGTTGACAGTTCCTATAATTGACAGGCCGGACAGGACTCGAACGACTGAAGGTATAAATATGTGTAAAAAACTCTGTTGCCTAATGTGTTTAAGAAATTATGTGTTGCCATAATAACTATAACGTGTTTATTATTTTGAATAAATCGAATAACATCATCAGTCGTGATCTAGGTGGATAGAATATGATGGTTTCTCCCAAAACGCTTGCCCGCAGATTCTGCAATATTGGCATATTGGTTCTCAGTTGTCCGCAAGATGGCGACACTCTTTACAGATTTCTTTTATGACAGAAAACAGTGAGAAAACAGAAAACGGCGCTTACACATCGCTTGCACCAGAAATAATAATATCGTGACATAACCTTAAAACAAATGATATCAAATTTGAAAGTACGAAACTGTAATTTTGGGGAATTTTAATTATCATCAGTGCAACCTACCTTGAATTTTGGTTTTTGCCATCTAACGGATAAAATGCGACCTAGCTATATTCCGCGACCTTGAAAAGAATCCTTTTGTCAAGTACGCCGTAGGTCAAGAACTTTGACCGAAAAGCATCAGATGGGATTTGATAGAAGTTTCTATACCATCTTCTGTTCATCCTGATTAATCGATCATTTAGCGTGGTACATATATGCGTACGCTAAAATCCATTTTAGTTATGTGAGTAGGAAAAAGTAGTTATATATAAGATGAGGAAGGGATTAAATTAATAAGTTCATGGTAATTTTCAGTGATATAATTTATTATAAGTAAATAATAAGATGCATGTAAAGTGTAAAGTGTATAAATAAATATTCTAAAACAAAGAGAGGTACTGGAATTGATCATTTGCTAGACATAAAATTTTCATCACAGAAAATACATGTTTCACATTCAACAGTTAATACTTGAGTGTTGATATTTGATTTCTAATGTGATGCTGTCTGAATTATTTTCATATAGGTGCTTGTGATGTTCTGAAACAGAAAAAACTCATAAAGAACATATATATAGATACCTACTTAGTAGGTAGTCATTTTATATTTTGCAAACATTTTGAAAAATCGATTTAACTATTATTCATGTTTTTCTCATTGTTGTTTGTTTGCCACTTAAGCGTGTCAAGCGGTATCATATATACAGGGTGAGTCAAAATTGTGTACCGAGTTTTCTGGATAAAGCAATGGCCCAAAATGAATATCTTTCGAAAGTTGAAATTTTCCAGCATAACTTCCATACGGTAAAACCCACCAAATTGAATTTTTCTGAATGAATGTATGTTGATAAAATACATTTTCCTGATACACTTCTACATTTCTGATATTGTTACAAAGGGGGCTTTTAGAAGGTGGGTCATAATTTTTTGGAGGCAACATCTTATTTCCTGGTATTCTTTTTGATGAAAAAATAGAGGCCTTTGCTAGAGCGAAAAAAAAACACAAAACGGTACTCTTATCAAAATACAAAAAATGTAACGAGTAATTTGAGTTTTTGATAAAATCATCAGTAGGTACTAATATTTAATATTTCGTGAGTCCTCGAACTTCTTGGCCGAACATGTTTCGTTTTAATAAAACATTCTTTTTCGCGAAATCTTTGCACAATACTCGAAATTGTACTAGATTTTGGAACTCGTCGAGCGGGAAACATCTTGTCATAACGACTTGGGAATCGCAGTAATAATATCACTAAACAAAAAAAAACAAAAAAAAACTGAACAGGGAAATTAACAATAACAATGTTCATGTCATAAACGTAAAAATTAAGCCTCCTAAAATAGTGTTACCGATGAACTAATCTGTTGATACCATGTGACTACAAAAACTCAAATATCTCGAAAACGGATACAATTTTTGTATTTTTGTGTAATTTTTTCACTTCATCAAATGCTTCTATTTTTTCACCAAAAATGAATTAAAAGTGAAAAAAAAATAATAGAAAGCTTCTATAACGCTCTAAAAAAAAATGAAATAAAAGGTTCCTATATAATTTTAACTACATAATATCAGCATATAACCTCATCACCTATACATAACTTATATGATCATAAAAGCTTGTCGCGCTATTTACTTATGTGAATAAACTAGTACTGATTTAATTTTGTAAAATCTGCTGAGTTTAAATTTTTGAAATTTCAATTCAACTAAATATTGATCATCGCGACAAGCTTTTATGATGATATAAATTATGTATAATGAGGTTATAACTTGATAGTCAAAATTATAAAGGAACATTTTAGTTTATCCTTTTTCGAGTTAAACGCTCTAAAGCTTTTGATCAAAAATGTTATTTTACTTTTAATGTATTTTTTAATTTTTAGTTATCGCTGGCTAGGTTTCTCAGTCTGTTCATTTGATTCAACGCATCATTGTTGCAAAGTCGTTTGCCGGGTAATTTCGAACAGTCCAGCTCTTCAATAAGGAAAGTTTCTAATGATTTTACCCTACCGTTATCTCACTTTCCCATTTCAATGGCTCACCCTGTATATACAGTCATTTTTTTCAATTTACCGCCATACCAATATTATAACGTGACATGTGTCAAAATCAATTTTTGGGTTATCGGGCATGCATAATAGATCCAAGAAAATGTTTTTCCATATTTTCAATAATAAACTTTTTCTCCATATATTACGCACTTTATGTATTTTACAAAAACATTTGTGTTACTATATTATTTTGACCAAATTAAACGTTAAAATAAATGAGTATTTGCTGTCTCCTTGAAGAAATCAATAATAATGAAAGAACAGATTATTTGAAGCAAAATTTCTTAGCAATGGTGGGAAAGCCATAGTAAGCAATTTTTTTAGCATACTCAACAATAGTTTTTTTGTATCTAGTGAGCTAAATGCCACTTTGGTGATCGAGAACTTTTTTTTCAATTTAAAATTAGTCGAGTTGACCAAAGTATTCCGCACACGAGTTGCCAACATTTTTTCTACAAACGTCAAAAAATATAGTTCGAAAGTAGTAATATGCTTAATATAAAAAATACTCCAACAGGAGAAAAAAATATCATATTTGTAATAATGGTCCACGGTTAAACATTCTTGAGATTTTAGAGATTCAAAAATGTTTTCATAACCCGGATAATTGTTTAAATGACCAGACCAATTTCCATCGTAATCATATTTTTCGTACATTACATTTCTCTTAATTTTCACTACAGTATTTCCTGCGCTAAGGCCGGTTCTGTACTCATTACCTTGACATAATTTTGGTTCGTCTTCTTCTCATTTTTAGCATAAACAGTTGATCTTCTTCTTCATTTATTTGCTGTTCTTATGACCGTTTCGCGTGTATCTCTGTCAACAACAGACATGTTTTTGCATTGTTATTTGGATTTATATAATTTGATTTCTCATTATTAGGTCTCTTTTGGGTGTCGAGCCCCAATTTTCATATGATTGTGTTTGAAATTGTCAATATTGTCATGTCAATGTCAAATCACCACTTTCAATTTTACATTTTTGCGTCTTTCCTTTCGATAACTTGACGGCAGTTAGATGGAGCTCATTTGAGTAGATTTCCAAAAATTAATATTTCCATTGTTTCCCGATGCTGAAATTACTCGTAGTCAAGTTCTTTTCGCTTTTTAGCCGTTACAAATTTTGTTGAGTACGAGGCTGGATTGATCCTTTGTTATAACTACCCAAGAGGTATATCAACCAGGATATCAACTCTTCCTCAACTACCATTTTGTTTTATATCTATACTACTTGTAATTTTCTAGGTACTTTTTTCATTTTGTCTAAAGATGGCAATAGAGCCGAAATAGTCACACGCTGATCATTTTCAGTGTTGTTCTTGTCATCACTTTTGTAACAGATCTATTACTATTTCACGGAGATTGTTACAATATTACGATTCGTCATGAATCTATTAGTATTTGCTGTTAGCACCAAAATATGATGTTTTGTTACTAAAAACTCTATTTCTGTGTTCAGCGGATAATTATGTTTTGCTCTATGGGTCTATGTTCTATATTTATGTCATAAGTTCTGTGTGACTTCTACCTCATTCCTGTCAAAACTGTCTAATTTGTGCAATAGAGTTTGACAAGAATGACATTCAGAATGTCAAATGTCAGATTTTTTGAGTCTATTACGTTTTGATACAAATCTGTTACCTTTTTCCAAGGGAATCTATTACAAAAAAATCAGACCCAGGAACAACACTGATTATTTTTATATTTACTATTGTGATCGACCGACTTTGATTTCGTTTTTTTGAAAAATAGTAAAAATACTGGACCACTTATTGAGGATGGATGGTTTCCATGACTGATAAAAAATACTGTTGAGCTGGCTCAAAAGACTTCATTTATTGTTATACATTCATAAATGAATGATTTCTTGGATGTTTGCTTAACGTTAACGTAAACGTAGAAATTGACAGCTACGCATGCGCATTTTCCAATTCTTCACGTTTGTATTGTTAGTGGGCTTACGGGTGTACGTTATCTCAAGTTCCTTCACGTATACCTCAGATATCAACGTACGTTAACCAAACTATACTCGAAATATGCCGATGAGTCAAAATTATCAAATTCGAGATCACCAACGAGTTCTGCATCAAGGAGTCCTCTAATTTTGACAGGAATAAATGTTCGAATCTAAACACACAACCAAAAATGACCAATACAAACCGAAAACAATAGTTATTTATGTATCAAGGGCGTAAAGTAGGCCCTCGGCTAGCGCCATCGGGCCATTATTCACGCCACAGGCCATAAACGCACGAGATACATACAAAATTTTATGCACTAGTGGTTTATTTTCTGACTCCTAAGTAATGACTATAGATTTCGATAAACTAATATTCCCCAGAATTTAAATTTATACGTAAATTCAGTAATCAAGAGAAGCGTAATGTTCATGGATGATTCACATATAAAAATTATCGTACGAATTAATATTGCAATTATCGTAATAGTAAAACTCTTTCAGCTCTAGAAGAGATTCATTCTTCAGAATTTTACAATATGCATACCCAGAATATAAACCTAACTTATTTTGACGTTGTCAATCAATCTGATGGTAGTTGTCTATAGCAATACATCCAATTTACTAGCTGAATTGTCATTCTTTGACTGAAAAGTAAAATTAGTGATTATAATAATTGCGAGACTATGGAATCGGATAAAGAAGAAGTTCATCTAGCAATATGATCATAGGTTTTTCATGAATTGATATGTGGATATGAGGTGACTGAGATCAGCGGGCGGTAAAGTGCGACTTAACGCCCGCAAAACCGGGCGTTGACGTGCATTTTACGGCCCGCTAGTGCATAAAATGTATTATTACGTTATGATGACAGTGACGACCAAAGTGGCGACTTCAACTCAATTTAACGAAAATACGTAAACGTTATTTTTCGTACGTTAACGTCTACGTGGAGGTCTACGTACAGTGATTATACTTCAACTCTCTAATAAAAAAAAATCATATAATTTTACAACAGTGCGCGAAGTATCTACTTCACAAACAGTTTTAATTCGCGCATTACTTCCGAGATTACTTCTTAGTTCGCACATGGTGTCATGGTAACGTAGGAAACTGAAATGAAGTGTCACTTCACATTTTGTTATCAATGCGCGAGTCATGTTTTGACGTTTATAGAAAAAAATACGGGGGTATTAGGATTCCAGTGAAGACGAGCTTCCTATCAATTACTTACATATTTTGCGAAAGTGATCTACGATCATGAGCTGAAGGTCCACTGTGAATAATCTACAAAAATAAAATTCAACTAGGTTACCTAGAAACTTTTTTTTTTTCAACAAAATGTTCATTACCTGTCCAATACTGCAAGTTGGTCTAACAGATCCATACCTGCCAATTGGTGAAGATTGTGTTTGTTGACTTCTATCGCCACTGATTTTTTGTGCTGTGGGACTACTACAATTTAAAAAAAAATCTTGGCTATTTTTTCAATTTCATGTTAACTTTAACGGCATTTTGTATTTCAGTACCTTTTATGTGGGTCTAAGTAGGACATCATGCTTTCAGACTGTCGCGTGAAAAAATCATCGAAAACAACATAATTGTTCATTTGTTTCACTGGTGAATTCAGATTGTAATGCTTGTTGAGGAATCTCAAGAATTTTTCGCTAGGTCTATCTATAGCCACTTCAACAGGTTGTATATGCTCTGCCTGAAAAATTATTGTTTTAGGGCCCATCTTGTATTTATTATACAGGGTGTCCCATTGGGAAACGGCAAAACATCAATAGTGTGTAGAGCTCATCAAGGTGGTTCTGGATATACCATATTTGTAGGGTCTCGCAAGTTTTATATCCGAGATATAGGGTGTTTTATCAATTTTGTTCAATTCTTTGTGAGGACATAACTTACGAACCACTTTGTATATTCTTTTGCAATTTGGTACACAATTCCTTCTTTTTCTACCAAAGCGACTCACCTATCAGTCACGAATATTTGGAAGAAATAAAGAAACTGTGAATTTTAGTTATTGAAACATTTGAAAATCGAAATTTGTGATAGCTCATAGTTTTTGGGCTATCCAAAGGTAACAAAAAATGAAATAAAAATTCCAGGTCCGTATTTAAAAAAAGTAAGTTGATGATGGTTTCTGGAAGACGAAACGTCAGATTTCAAATTTGAAAACGCCATGTTGTAGGGAAGAGAAAGTGGCTTTGATAAAGTGTTATTTATATTGATTAATTTCTTCAAATAACGCCAGAAAAAAATAAAAACGATTTTATGGAATTTCGATTTTTTTCGGATATCTCCGAAAGTATTCGGAATTTTGCAAGTTTCAGAACGGCATTTTGTTAGGCATGAAATTGCGCAACTTTGCCATAATTTAACCGACCCTGTATCTCTCACGGTTCACGAGATCCCAATGATGAGGCTCGAATTCCAGCCACCCTGTACAGTATACAGTATGATGCAAATGTATGGAATAAATTCATTTCAGAACCAGACGACTCCCGAAAAAAATCCGAAAAGTAGAGTTCAGAACATTTTTATCGATGTATTTTTTCAACTAGACGACCCTTCGATGTTCAATTCTCAGTAGAAGATCTCTGCAAGATTCAGTTAACCAAATGATAATCCATTTCAATTTCAATCTTCTTTTGCAAAATTTTGACTATTGGATAGACGATCAGTAGACCTTTCAAACGAGGTGTCACATGACCCCTGTTTGTATTTAAAAAAACCGTCCATTACGTCATTACTCCAACACCGGTGACGTAACATCTCTCATATGAATGTCATGAGATGAGGTTTCAAAAATTAAAACTCACGTGTTTTTGGAATTTCTTCAAATGTCGCCTATTTCTGAAATAATGCATTTATTCCATACATTTGCATCATACTGTATACACTTCCCACCAAGTATGACAATGATAGTGTAAATTAGCTCCAAAGTACTAGGCACAAATATTTTCTAAATATATGAATTAAACACCCAGTAACTCAGACAGGACAAACATGTTAACAAGGTGATTTAGGTTAAAACTGTATATTTATCTGCATTACCTACCTGTAACATGTGTTCAAATAAATATTTGCCCCAGCCAGATCTTTGATGAGATTCATGAACATAAAAATCCAATATACAGAGAGGAGATACTTGGAAATGCTGCCCATGCTTGTCAAATAAATATAGTACTTTGTGGCCAGTTTTCAGCATGCCCATTACAGCCCCTTTTCCACTGAAAAATATAAATTTATTCAAATATCAAATTGATCCCAGTATTGAAAGCAAGATGTCTTCAATAAGACAAATAAAATATGTAATATGTAGATCAATGATTATTATGAATCTGGGTTTTTGACAATATAATGATAAGGAAAATGCTGGTATGACTGTTTTCTACTTTCATAATCATAATAATAAATTAAGTTCTTCATTTATTATATGTAAATGAAAAAAAAATAGTACATGGGTATATGGGTAGTAAAGAATAAATATACAATATCTAATTATACCCATTTCTCCAATGTATTTCACTTTTTATTTGCAATAGAATCTACAGTGTGACCCATTTAAGATGGAAGCACCCTTATAAAACTTACATTTTTCAACCGATTGGAATGATTTTTTTTTGTTAGGTAGATATTCAAAAAGTCTATTAGGACACCAAATATCATGAATAAATCTCCATTTCCAGGGCCAACTAATCTGATTTTTCAAGGTCAAAAACCTAAAAAAATTACTAGCGATTTTTTTAGAAAAAATCTGACTACACCACTGGATTTGTGACATTTTCAAATGGGTAACATGTAAATTACGTTGAAATGCGTCAATCAATAAAAAAGTTATAAAGGAATGAAATTTGAAAAATATGCCGTTTAATCAACCCACCAATTCATGTTCAGGAATTTTATGAAAATTCTGTATACTCCACTGGATTCAGGATGTCTTGAAATATTACTGATCACAGTTTCATCGAAATCTGTTCAGTAATAAAAATTGATGGGTTGATTAAACGGCATATTTTTCAAATTTCATTCCTTTATAACTTTTTTATTGATTGACGCATTTCAACGTAATTTACATGTTACCCATTTGAAAATGTCACAAATCCAGTGGTGTAGTCAGATTTTTTCTAAAAAAATCGCTAGTAATTTTTTTAGATTTTTGACCTTGAAAAATCAGATTAGTTGGCCCTGGAAATGGAGATTTATTCATGATATTTGGTGTCCTAATAGACTTTTTGAATATCTACCTAACAAAAAAAAATCATTCCAATCGGTTGAAAAATGTAAGTTTTATAAGGATGCTTCCATCTTAAATGGGTCACACTGTATATAAAATCAGCCAACATCTGATATATGTTTTATTTTTCATTTAATTTGCTATTTCTCAATATGAGATTATATTTTATATCAAGATTTCCTTTTACTACTGTTAAAAAGTTGTTATTTAGTATTTAAATTGCTTTTTTGTTATTGCTGTACTGTAATATGAAATTTTAACCTTGTTGTAGTTTGATCAATGAGGAGGTACAATTTGTGATCTGAATTTCTTAGACGATCAGCTGTTGTGATTGGTTTTGTCAGTCCTTGTGCTGCTGCAGAAGCTTCACCAATAGTATTAATAACTTCAGATATTCTACTGATTGCATTCCTAAAAAACATAAACAATCATCAGATGCTTATCAACATATGTGACTAGAGTTTAGAATACAACAAACAAAGGTGCAAAAAGATTTATGATGGAGCTTGGTTAGCTTTTCCACTATCTTCATGAATGCAATGTTTAATTATACTTCATTAATTGATAAAAAAATTCAAATATCTCTTAAGTAGTTATGTAAAATTTTGATTATACCACCTGTTGATCATCAAATGTATAAATTTCAATCACACAAAGGTATTCACAAAAGAAACAAATGATTTTTCAATTTTTGAATGAAGAATAATTTCAGGGCGGGTTGCAAATGAAATGTTATGGTTGAAGTACCATGGTATGGACACATTTGCTTTCTTTTGCTTGATGACATATAGAAGTGATGTGTCTGTTTCAACACTTGTATTATAAAGTAATTTTGTTATTGATTACTCACCAAAATTCTCTTTTATCCCCTTGGAAATCAGGAGGAATCAAATTATGGTTTAGTTCTACAATCTGTTTTTTGAAAATGTCAGAGACATTAAACCTGAATTCCATTTTGGTCTGAATTTGGTGATCGTTTCGAAATGAAAGAAGGATTTATTGAATCTATTGAACATGAACACCTCAAATCACATGTAAAATATTAATATATAATATATATTAATTTGTTGCAACCTTAAACTTTGGTGAAAGAATAATTGGAATAATATTCTCTTCTCTTGTGTACTTTTCAGACTTTTCCTTGACAGCTGACTCAGCTCACTCAGCTGGCTGAGACATTGACACATTTGACATATGCAGTGATAGTACAGGAGATTCCACATCCTCATTGTCCGTATTAATTCATTATTACCTGATGCAAGTTCCGACGATCAATCAAATTAATATGTAGGTACCGAGCAAAGTTGGTACCGACTGTACTGTAAATTGACGTATCAAGAAAGAATTTACTCTCGCAGAAGTCGCCTGTGTGTTGAGTGCAATCATATATCTACTACTCATATATGAAGCATGACTGTCCGGCGTTGATGCCGACGTAGCGAAAAAATAATACGTAACTTGTCAAACCAATTGATCATTCTAGAACACGTGATTTTGACATGATTTCTTGAGGGGCACACAAACTATCTGTTAGGTTACCTTTGATGAGCATTGCTCTGGCCGTCCCTGCCACATCCACAATATAATAACAGTTTCACAAAACAAAATTATGAAATTCTTTCTGGTTCCAACTCGGATTCCAAGGAAAACGATCCCACTAATTCTGGTTTTATATGACAAATCTTGACAAGATACAATGTTTGCCCCTCAGCAACCTGTCAAATGACGTAATTCTGGAATGATTAATATGGCTGTTTCTATCCTTCACTTTCCGTCCTTATAGATTTAAAAAGTACCTCTCATTTAAGTCCCATTTTTGTTGAGATATCGTATAGCCGTGTTGGAAGCCAGAATTATAGATGTAGTGTGCGACCACTGTCAAGAGGCACTCGTAGAATGACCCCTTCAGTTTTCATTTCTTATCTTTTTTGAGTTTTTTGTTACCAAGATCGTGTTTTTTACCAACATATTAACATAACATCTATATTTTCTTCAAACTCTCAGATTTCATGCAAACAGTCGTCTTCAGAAAAATAATTATATAAAATTAGATGAGCATAATTGAATAGAAATCTTCAGTGGTCAAAGGGCAATGGTAGTGTAGTTAAATCGAAATATTTAGGAATCCTAGAGGATCTTTCAGAACATTAAACAAAATCCAGGTGTAATGATGAAAGTAGATATATTATTTGTCTATTGCCTATCCCACCATAGTCCGTTTTCGTCCACGCGCTCGTACTTCTTCAAACCTTGAAAGGACTTCTTTGCTCCCTTTCTTATATGTTTGCTGGTACCCAACTAAGATCTGAGGAAATAAAGTTTCTGCCACTCTATGAGTGCTCAACAATGCTCTTTCCAGAACATATAAATCTACACCTTTGTCCTCTGTACTTGATTCGGTATGAGACAAACCAAAATCTATCATCACTAAGTCCACTTCCCTCAGGCTTTTGAAACTTTTTGTGCTATTCTTATTGACTAGCAGTATGTTGGAAGTTGTAAGATCACCGTGTACAATATTGCTGGCATGAAGGCAACCTAGAGTTTTTCCTACCTCCAGTGCGAACTGTTTCAATTCCTCCAGGGCAGATGAGCTGGACAAGTTCTCTATGAATTCTTTCGCTGTGATGCTGTGCTCAAAATGCTCCATCCAAATGGTTCGCTTATGGAAATCTACTAGGTATAGTGCGGGGGTTCTTATGCCAGCTGCTTTACAGCGAACTATAGCTCTGCACTCTGCTTTTATTCTTTCCTTGGTCAGGAAATTGTCCAAGATTGGATGGCGGTAGGTCTTCACGAATCTTTCTTTTGCTATTGAAGGTTTTCCTAAATAGGTTCCTGTGTATATCCTAGCTTCGGCTCCTTGTTTCAGTATTTCCATTCCCTCCATAACTGGTTATCAACGAAAATGAAAAAATGTACTATTTGAGTAGTTGATCACTACCTTTAGATAATCGAAACTTGAAAGTGAGATGTTTCTTGAAAGTACAAAGTAAACAATAACATAACCCAAAAATTATAGAATAGATTTTTTTGGTTAATCACTCAGGATTAACGAATCTTCTCATTTTAGTATGAAAAATTGAAATTATTGACATGACAATGAAATGACATAATGTCGAGTCATCTGCCATAGGTTGAAAAGCACGATTGGTTTGAAAGATTCGCTGGTCTAGCTACACGATTGGCTACACGCTTGTGAGAATATATTCTCTCAAAGAAATTGAGTGCATCAATAAAAGACTGAATGGTGGTCCAAAAATCTCTCCTGATGAAATTAAATAAAATATAAAATTTAATTAGATTAGTTTAAGAATGAAATTGATATAGGCAGTGTGCCCAAGATGAGATTGTGCAGCATTATGATGGGGATCTCAAAATCGGTTGAGCATTCATAGAAAGTCATTCCAACTAGGTTCATTCGAAAATTAACAACATTATTTATAGTATTTCAGTTTATGTCTAAAAAAAGTTCATTTTTTCTGTGACGGGAAAAAAGTTTGGCATTTCATCTCTGTTGGCAGGTTATAAAATGTCACTTTTCATAAATTACTTTTTTCCCGTGGGAAAAAAGTGAGTACTTCTTTCCCGGATATATATCACATATATATACTCTGGCTATATTCCGAATTCAACTGGTTAGTACTGTCAGTATATCCACTGACTCTGCTGAAAAGCTGTGTTCCGAAATGTAAAATCAAAAATACAGTGCTGTAATTCGGAACACGTTTTCATCAGTAATCAGCAGCAGTTAATCAGCTGGTGAAATTTGTCAGTTGTCAATGATCTGGGAGATCCTCCTGCTTGAGCTAAATAAATAACAGACATTTTCTGATATCAAAATGATATTATTAATGTATTATTGATAAGCCAAGACTCAATGTTTGAAAAACAACGGAAATGAATGTGTCATTCCATTCCTCTAAAAAATAATGACAGTTCACTGAAGCCACACTACTTTTTGATAGTCAGCAATTTCAACAGAATGTTGAGTCGAAATATTTGAAATGAATAGTATATACCTGCTCACGAGTATCTGTCACTTTCAGTCAATTTTTTTGATTTCGGAATGAAAATTCAGCAGATTCAGTACTGTCAGTTGAATTCGGAATATAGCCTCTGTTAATGGCTTTTGTTGTGCTATAGTTCCGAAAAATAAGTCAATAATACCGTCTCCGGTTTTTTGTCTCCCTCCGCTACGCGTCGGGAGACAACACAACCTGGAGCTAAAATCTACTACTTTTTTTCCTTGTATAATAAATAACTATTTTAGACAATCTCTTTAATTTTTTTCTACATTATTGTTGGACATACAGCAAATCTGAAATTGCTTTTGCATAGCACGATTTAACGTAGTTATATATGATTTATCTACTCGACATTTCGTATTTTGTAGAACCACCTTCAATATTTCATATATGCCTCTATAGTTCTGATTTTTTATTCTGAATACAACCATATATGTATATATTATACAAAGTGGTTTGAATGCGTATTTTCAACCCAGTTTCCAGTCATCATCAAATATTTTTCGAAATTTCTATTGACAATTATAATTAAATCCACTTTTATTTTCATTAAAAATTCTTTTTTTCGTTCGTTGTTCACCAGAAAAATAAATTTTCTTCATTTTTGTTGTTGTGTTGTTAATTATGTAGGAGTTTCGATCAAATATATTATTAGTTTCTAGTATTTTCTTATCTATTCGTTTTTTGAATATAATTTGATGATATATTATTAATTATTCCACCATTATATGTATTATGAACAATTCATTATAATGTCGTAGTATACATGTAAATATTTCTCTATTGTGTTCAGCTATATATTCGGTTCATTACTATATTCTTAAACAAGTTCTGAGTGCATCGGGTGAACCTTCATCATTTTTATACAGGGCAAATGAAAAAGTACATTTTCTCAGAAGAATCTCCTGGTATATTATTGCATATTTCAATTATTTCGTTTCTGTGATATCACATGTGGGGAAAATGATTATTATTTATGTATACTTATTATATGGAAGATGAGAAAATTTACTTTCGAAAAATGACCGATGAAACGATATTGAATATAGGATATTCACTAGAGAATTTTTAAAGGTAATCTATAAACGAGGACTAAATTTCGGGATGCTGATAATTCAATATTAATGATGATAATTCGATAATACTCCACATATTGTCATTCATTTTTATATAAATTACACTGAAAAAATATCTCTACATTTTTTGGTCATTCAGAAGTATAGGTCATACTTTTGGAAAATTTCTGGGAATACAGGTATCAACTAGGAAATTCAGGAAAGAGGTATTCAGGAAATACAAGCAATAGACAGGAAATACAAGTAATATTCCGGAATTCGTAGGGAATATAGGCAATAAACATTATAGGAATTCCCTTTCGTGCGCTCCAAGCGATAAAAAAAATACAAGCAATACTGATTTTATTGCGCAATAACAAGAAATACTTAAATCATATTCAATATTTGTATTACCGATTTTGCAATACCTGTACTATTTTCATCCAGTGCATGGTTCACCCCTACGCATGGCCTATTTTTGATTCAGTTGGGCCCCAAGGCCCCAGCGAAATTTCGGGCCCTCAATATTCTATATGACTTTCCAATAAGAATTTTTCTGCTCATCTTTGGCAAATATTACAAATATCTTCAGTTTTTTTCCATGATGAAATAACATTTTAGATGGAAGTAAAATTTTAAATGCTTCAGTTGACAAACGAGACAGTGGAATAGCGCAGTGATGGGGTGAGGCGCTCGACTAGTAATCATGACATTGAAAGTTTGCTGGATCCCGACAAAGCAGAGGATTTTTATTAATAAAACGAGTTATTAATTTTAATTTTGGTAGCCTTGGTCGGAGATGATACCGTACGATTCACTGTTGCGTTACTATTATCAGTGCTGTTCCTAAGGTGGCGTATGGAGTAAGTAACAAAGCTTTGTATTCCTCGAGAATATTGGAATGATAATAAACATCAGCGATATGGGACAAACCTGCTATTAAAATTCCTCAGAAACAAACACAACTTACTTTATTTTCAATAACAATTTGTTCAGCATTATATATACAGTATCGAACAATTTATACAAAATAACCGTTACATATCCGTCGGAGGATTAAAATAATCCCAATGGTGCAAATGGACGACAGTCTTTTCTTCCCCATAACCCAACAAAATAAGTCCCGCGATCAACACTAACACGATCATTATCATAGCGCTCATGTCTTGCTTGCCTTCATCGTTTCGCGGCACGTTGCTAAGCACGTACGTCACCAGTCTCTTCAAGGCACCGTTGATTTCGCCACCGCACACCCTAAGCAAAGTCGAAGACAGCTCGCCGAGCGAAGGGCTGCTAGACCTCCTGTGACTCCTTCTCCGTGGCAAAGCCGCGGCTGAGGATTCGTCCGAACTTGATCTGGACAGATGCTTAGACTTCGTGTGACGTTTCCTTCTTGGCACCGTGGGAACGTCGCTGACGCTTTCCAGGTACCTCTCGGCTTTCAGAGCATAGAAACTCGCTGGGGGCTGGGAGGGTACGTAAGCGAACTGGGGATGAGGTGGTCTCGGCGGGGGATTGTCGTCTACTTCCGGTTCCTCGCGCTGTTGCACGCCTCTGTTTTTCTCTGACTGTCGTGGTGGACGTGGAGGGATCTTCGCCTCGTCCTTCATTTCGGAGTTTTCGTTTTTCACATCCGTGATGTCTACCGCTACTGGCACTGGCTCTTCTTCACTGGCAAAAGCCTCATTGACCCTTCCAACTCCACAGGATTCTGATAGAGAACTCATCCAGTGGACATTGTTTTCGTTTTCAATGATGCTACTTTCGATATCGACTGGTATATAAATATTTGGGCCCTGTGAATTTTCGTCATTTACGTCTTCAACAGGATGAATTGGTTCAGCTTCTGAACGGGCTAACTCTTCATTGTTTTCACAGACAGACTGGACGTTTGTGGTGTTATTAACCTTGGTTTGATTGGACTCTACGTTCGTGGTGTCAGTACCCTTAGCTTGATCGGACTGGACGTTTGTGGTGTCATCACTCTTGGCTTGATCGGACTTTATTGTCTTCATCACTTCCTTTATCAATTCGGGTGGTAAATTCAATCCAGTGACTTGGACGTTTCCGGAATCCGATGAAATTTCGTTTGTTCTTACTGATCCGGCATCTAATTCTGAAACGACTATTTTGTCCGCCATCAATCTATTAACCGTCAAAGTGTCAATGTCTAGATTCCTCAGTTGGAGCGATTGCGGTTTAGGAACATCATGTTCGATAGTTTCTTTACTGGTAATTGATTCTTCGATAGGCGCTGACAGTTTGTTAAATTCCTCGGGTATCGAAGATGTTTCTTCGTCGTTCGAATCAACGTGAACTGGGATTCGCCTTTCTTTCTGGTTCGGCAATATATTTGAGCTGTCTAGCGGTTCCACTAGTAAACTACCGTGCGTGATGGTTTCTTCGTAGGTGTAGACGGTCGGTGTTATCAAATGGATTTCTCTTTTACTCCGTTCTGCTTCTTTGGGTTCTTCAGTTAGTTCTTTTATTAGCGGATGAGCAACGGTGTCTGTCACTTTCACGGAAACAAGATCGTCTGGTAGCGGTTTAGCTTGTTTTTTTCGTCTTTCTGTCGGAAATATAACTGTGTCAGTGGGTTTTTCCATGATTTCTTCACAAAATAAATCGTCCGATGGTGACAGGGCTTCTCGTTTGCGTCTTCCTATCGAAGTAACACGTTCTGTTGGTTCTTCTACCACTTCTACGCATACTATTTCCTCCGGTAGCGGTCTAGCTTGTTTCTTGCGTCTTTCTGTCGGAATTATAACGGTATTAGTGGGTTCTTCTATTATTTCTTCACAGGAAAAATCTGTTGACGCCTCTAATCCTCTTCTCAAAGCATTGGTTTCTGCAGGTTCATCTATCACTTCTGCGCACACAATTTTGTCCGGTAACGATCTAGCTTGTTTCTTGCGTCTTTCTGTCGGAATTATAACGGCATTCGTGGGTTCTTCCACCATTTCCTCGCAAACGAAATCATCTGATGACGGTTCAACTTCTCTTTTACGTCTTCCCATCGAAGCAACGGGATCTGTTGCATCTTCCACTACTTCTTCGCATACTATTCCTTCTGGTAGCGGTCTAGCTTGTTTTTTGCGACTTTCTGTCGGAATTATAACGGTATCCGTGGGTTCTTCCACCATTTCTTCGCAAACGAAATCGTCCGGCAGCGGTTCAGTTTGTGTGGAGACTTCGGCTTCCAAGTTGTTGTGTCTGACCATGATGTTTTCCTCGGATGCGACGTCGTGTAGCGGTCGCGTTTTTCTCGGAGGTCTAGGGGGCGGTGGAAGTGGCCTGTCTTTCATTTTTTGGATGACGTCACCCGACTGCAGTTTCTTGGCAGCGTCGTCTACCTCCAGGTACTGGGTGATGTCGATATTTTCTTCGTTCTCGTCGGCGTATGGGCTCGGTTTCCTCATTTGGCCTAGTGTGCTGTAGTTCCTTAGCGGCCTTATGGGTGATTTATCTTTGGAATTGGTGCTCTGTACGGTAGCAAACTTGTTGTTGATAGGTTTTTTGCGGCGTTTGGGTATTCTTGGCGGCGGTAATGGAGGATCCCTCGCTTTGGTTTTGTCTATGATCGCGTATCCCATGCTGTCTCTGATGTCTTTCTTGCAGATCTCTTCTACGCAGGGCTCCCGATGCTCCGAGTCGTTTTCCACGAATGAAGGTTCTATAACTTTCTCGAGGTTGACTTCGCTTTTTTGAATTGTAGGATAATTTCTTGTAAATTGTGTTTCGGGGTCGTTAAAGTAATTGCGGTAATCGTTTGTTACTTTAGTGAATGTTGGTTCGGGTTCGTCAGCATACGGAATTTTGTCGTCTGCGCTTTTCAGGAATGCATCTTCGTTATCATCCTGAACTTCTTTGTGGTACTGTGAGTTTATCTGTGACCTGCTTCTACTCCTTCTTGGTCTCTCTGGCACCTCTGTTGGTATGGGGATTATTATTTTTGATTCGGTTCTGATAGCCTCTAACTGAAATCAAAATATTCATCATTAGTACTGATTATTTTCACGAGAGAATCAGTAACCTAAATGCCAAAATAATCAATTTTCTCATCGTACGTCGATTGAAGATCAAAATCACAGCTTCACGTTGAGTGAAAATCTGAAATAACTTCAATGATGTCCATTGATGATACATGTTATTTTTGATAGTTTGAATATGAAAATTGTGGGAAATCTTTCACATCATTCGAAATTAAATGAAAGTTGACTTCAAGGCGTATTTATTTCCACATATAAAATGAGTGCAAAAAATCAAAATAGTGAAAGAAAGTGGGTATAAAGAAGAGATTTTTTTTAAAGCCTGGCGAAGTTTTTTCATTACAATCAGCTCTTTTGAGGCATCTCTTTATCGGGATAAAGAATGTATATTCGATCAGAAATCAAAAATCTTCATCATTCCAAAGAAAAATCACATACTGGCTGACAAAAATCGCTTCAAGCCTTAGCGCCGCGATCGATCAACTATATCCTATTTTGAAAAACGTACTATCAGCTGGATTTCATCATTATTTAAAAAAATAATAATAATTCCATCCAACTCGTAGTATCTGATGAGTCATTTCATTAGATTTTTTGTTTTTTTAATCGGATAACTAGTAGCGGCGCTATGGCTGGGACTTTTCTTGTCAGTCAGCCTGTATATGTTTATAACAAAGAATCAACAATTGAACATTTCATGCATGAAATATTGTTATTACAGAGCGAAAAAAAATTGAATATCTCAAGAAAGTTACCGTTGGAATGACATCTTCCGAATAAGCCAGTCCCAGTATCGAATCGTTCTCCGAAAAGTTCAAACTCTTCAGGCTCTTTTGTTTCCTGGGTGGCACTAATGGCCCTTGCTCCTCATCCAAGTAATCCGTGACGTTTATCTCTGGGTTTTCCCTCCCCACTACCCCTCCATTTTCGTATACGTTCCCCTCTTCATCTCTCTCGTCATCTCCCAAAACCGCCAGACTCTCTCTGTGCTCGAAAATCCTGTCGTGGGGTTCCATGGCGATGGTCTCTTGGTAGGGGATGAGATCCTCTTGGGACGGCTTCTGTTTCCTGGAGCGTCTGCTGTTCCGTTTCGGTCTGGGAGGGATGGCACCCTCGTCGCCATCTTCCGCGGATTCTTCTTCGTAATTTTCTATCCGCTCTTGGGAAACGTGGGGGGTTTTCTTCCGTTTGGGCTTCTTTATAGGCTTGCGCTTCGCGGAAACTTCAGGTATGGACTGGGTGGAACCTTTTAGAGTGTAGTCCTGGTGCTGTATCTGGGATAGGGCATTCACTGGGGTTCGGAACGCGTCCCTTATCTCTGAGCTGAGGTACATCCCTACCTCGATGTTGTCTTGGGAGATACCTTCAATGGAAAAAAGATTGTCTTAGTTATGAGATCTAGATGTTTGAATTGGATAGGGGGCCTCGTTTCACTTTAGTTTCATTTGGCAGTTAGAACGGCAAGAGGTTGGCTATATATAGACGGGAAGTTCTCACTGTATCTCAAGAATGGTGCAACAATTCTAGGGTTTCGTATAGGCTCAGTGAACATTTAATAATTTGAATAGTTTAGTCGGGAAGACGAGGAAACAGCAGGGCTTTTCCAGTTTAAGGATACTAAGGCTGCGAGAAGATAAACAAAGAACTTCCACATAAGCGGAAGATCTGAAAGCTAGCCTTTGGAGTCTTGTAGAGAAGATGGATCTAGATGAAGAACTCCAAGCGATAATAGCCCGCATGTCCCCGATCCGATCTTATATGTGTTACATAATATGATGCGTAACATATGGTGAAATCTGTTAGGTACGAACCAATGTAAGAGGTATAGGGCTCTGGCGAAACCTTTTTTTTTCAACTTGGTGTGAAGAAAATGACAATGTTATGTTGACATCATCGGAATAAAACTGTTTCACTACAGGGAAGTTATCCATAAAAAAATATCTACAAAGAGATCAGAAAAACTGTGGTCGTGATTTTGTTGTGAAAACCCCGAAGTAGATTGGAAAAGTTGTGGGTTCTTCTGAATGAAAACTAATCACTTTGTTGCCTCAGGGATATCTCCCTAGACTCTTTTTCCTCCAAAACCCCTTTCGTAAGTATAACTAAAATCAACTCTATTGATTCCAATAAAAACTGTGATCGTGCTTTTGTTGTTAACAATCCGTTGGACTCTGAAAAAAGATGAATTCTTTCTGCGGGACAGTTTAACACTGTATGACCATAGTGACATCCTCGAGCAACAACACAAGTAGAATTTGAAAAACTCACCTTTCTGCCTCAGGAAAAACTCGTCAGAGTCTATCTCCTCCAAAACTCCTTGCCGGTGCACCCCATTGGAGCTACCCGAAGAATAATGATCTTTGTAATCGCTCTGTCCGTCCGGCTGTTCTTCCGGCATATCCAGGTCCGTAACAACGTTATCCGGACGATCCGCAGTGAAGGTGCCCCTGTCCCACCTACCCAGCGAACTGAATTCTTCTTCGTTTTCTCCTTCTCCGTTTTCTTCTTCTGCACCCTCGGAGTACTGGAAACGAGACGGCCCCAATTCTTCCAGAGACTCGCCTCTGACGTAGGTGTCTTCTTCGCGACTCTCCACGGAGTCTTCTGGGTGTAGCGGTATGCGTACGGGTTCGCCGAACTTGTTCGCTCGGCTTCTGGGTACTGTTGCGAAATCGGGGGGGTTCATCTCAGAGTTGTATCCGGCGGGTTTTCGCTTGAAAATCCTAAGAACAGTCATATTAGCAATAATAGAAGAAACTATATATTGATGAAAATCTATAATTGGTGGAGACCTTCAACTTGGCCTACTTTCAAATAATAAGACAAAAATCCAGTGTTGGTCGACCACAAAATCATTTATATTACTAAATAAACATTGTGTAACTAGTTTCGGCTCTACAGCCATCAGACACGAAACATTGTACCTGAAGGAATACAGTAAGTACTTGGTTGATTATTTTTTTTATAGAATCATCAATCAATTACCTTTCTTCGACTTTGACAATCGAAAGCAAAAATTTGAAATATTATACACGTATTTTTTGTTTTGTCGTGGAGACACTTGTTTTCTTTATACGGGGTGTTCGAGGCCGCATGAATTTTTTGTTTTTATTTTTTATTTTTGTTGAAACCAAACCTAGAGATTTGACATTCGGTAAGCACTTTTCTATCTGTTATATATGAACTGTCCCTATCCTTCTTAGTTTCCTTGTTATTCGAAATAATGTTACACCTACTATGCATAACAATTTTATAACCTAAATGTTTATCTTACATCAAATTATCATTCGAATTGAATATTGAATGGTTCACGTACACGAAAGATATTGAAACAAATGAAAAACACAAAGTGTGGTGAAGAAATAATAATGATTTTTCATTAGCTTCGATCCACCACTAGCCACCCAATAAAAAAAAATTTGACGAGTTCCATGTCAGAGGGCTCGAAAAAGAATAACATCGTTACTCCCATAAATATACCATATTGGTATACTATAGTTTGTCCAGCTGTATAATGTTGATCAATTTTTTTGGGGACTCATGTTTGGAAAATTCTAGCATCTCCCAATATCTTCTTGGTATTTTTTCTTTACCATTTTCACTTCGTTGCCTTTGAAGTGAATTATTTTGGGACCATATTTATGAACTGAAGTTATTCACCTACATATTCAACCAACGAATCTTCACTGTTTGTTCTTGTCTAGAGCACGTAAACGCCGCTGTATCGTTCTCACTCGTGCGCTCGGATGGCCTCTTACGTATAAATGCTTCTACAAAGTTCATTTTTGAAACGTGCGAAAAGTTTATAGGAAACAATTTGTTGCTCACATTTCAATCTATCGAAAGATATCATAAAAATCGAAATTCATATCGTGAACTAAAAAGTTATGATAAACTGAAGAGATGACAATGGAAATATTTTCGCGAATTCTGTACAAAATGATACATTTTGGATCAAAAAATAATTCAATTTCCCAACATATTATGTATGAATCGAATCTCCAGAATATGTTCAATCATATTATGAAAAGACTACGTATATAAGTGCTATAATTGCGAAGTTACAAAGGTTTATATATTCACGCGCAAAGTTATTTTTTTCTTAAATTTTCGAGTTTGGTCGCCTATAACTTTTTTCGGTACCATAGAAAAAAGTAGTCAAGCTGGAATATTATGTAATAATCATATATATTCAAGGTGGTGAAGGTCCTATATCTTTCTACTCCGAAAAAAAAAAGTCTGTAAGGAAGAGGATTTTGCCTCGTTCTCCTCTTGTATATTGCCTAACGCACAACTTGTACGCTGTGCCTGTGGAACTTATTCGGAGAATTCAGACGATCGCAGATGCCTAGGGGTAACACTCAAGGCCGCTTTTACTATAAATGTTGAAATATTTTACGCTAGAATGAGTTGGAGTGAGACACTAGACGACTTCCTTCGTTATCGGGCCCCGCCTCCTTCGGACAGGATTTTTACTTCCCCCTTCACACCCTAGATAAAGTTTGACCTTTTTCAGAGGGTAAACCCCTTCTTAAGCCAAGTCCAAAAATTCTACTTTACACGTGATTTAGAGGTGAGTGGGGTCCCGCTGGAACCCCATACTGGTTTAACGGTACCATTTATTTTTAAATACGCCGTATATTTCTTTAATTTTCTATTTTTCAGAGCTATGAAATTGGATGACTCTCATGGAAAGGACCCCTTACGCAATGTGAGATAGAGGAAATAGCCATGGATTAGGAGTCTGAAGCTGAATTTGTGGGTTAAGGTGCTAAAATCATCAATAGTGCCACGGTAATTTTTAAACGGCTAGAAATTTACCGCAAATAAAAACTGACGTCACGATTTCATAAGTAGGGGCAGACCAAAGCATGGTTGCCATATGTTGAGATACTATTGGGAATTATTTTTTTAATAATTTATAAATTCTCAATAAAAAATCTAGTCTCCTGACATTTTTCCTCTTATGTATTGTGTCTCATTGCTTAAAATAAATATCTGTTAATTATAATAATAGTAATAAAAAATATAATAATAATAATTATTATTATTATATTGATTCACACTAGAGGACATATATTTGGTCCTGTAAACGTGACAACATGGCAATAGGATTTTAGATGTTGTCTTGTCAGTTCTCAGCATTCAGCACATGTTGCCAAGTCTCCAGCCAACATTAACATGATGTTTTGTTATGTAGTATAAGAAATATTCGACAAGCTGCTCACTCGAAAAAGCCACAAATGAGAAACTATAATATCATGGCTTCCTCCTATTAGGTCAAATAAAATATTCAAGTACGAAAACTGTGGCTGCGTTCAAAAACGGTTTGATCATCGAGACAGGTGATATCCGGGTTGTTATTAAGACATTTCTGAATTTCGAAAATTTCAAGGAGGTTCAGCCGTGAATCTTTATTACACAAACATGAAGAATCTCCATATTGGAGTTGATATTGAATATAAATTTTCATGAAAAAAATATTCTTTTATTAGTTGTCACACTATAACTTGAGAACTATGCATTTCCGGACCCACGTATATATGAAATAAATTTCATGTTTTCCCACGCAGATTCACGCTTCTGATTTTTTGCGCATAATTTCGGACATTCTCTATAGATTTTCAGATCAGTGACATATTTTTAGAACTGCAAATACGTCTGATAAGAGGTTCAGACAGAACAGCCTGTATAGCTTTTTATCAACAATATTTCCTATTCTGGTTATTTCAATCCAATATCGACCTACCTCGGATACGTGCTGAAAATCGTTTTCTTGGCATCGCCGTCGTTGGATTCGGTCGAATGGTGTCGTTTAACTTTCGACTTCAACGATGGCAGCTTGTTCTTGACTCGCTGTAAGGTCAGCTTCGATCTGTCAATGTTGAAGCTCGGCTTGTGGAATACTGGTCTGGCAGGTAAAGAGATGTGCGGTTTCTTCATCGCGTGGAATCTGCCCTTGAGGTCTTGCGCTTTGCGTTTGAACTCGGACTGGAATTTGTAATAATTATCTGATTCATCGGCTACAGAAAAACGGCCTCCAAATCAATTGTGCCAAAGTGTGTCAGTTTTACATACCTGGAATTTGTGTAGGCCGGATTTTTTTTCGCTTTCGGCTTCCGGGTCCGGGTCCGGAGTTCTGGCGGGTTCGTGGTGGTCCGGGTGTTCTTGGTGGTCTGGCGATTGCCTACGGCTAGAACTGTCATCTGTTGCGGTTTGTACGATTGTCGAGCATGGGATCATCACGAAATCTTCAGGGGGTGGGTTTACGGGCTCGTATTCATGGTCGCTGAAGAGAAAAACGAAGGTTTGGCAACCTCCAGTCAACATACGGGTTTTCGATGGATATCCATTGAACATCCATTTTAGTTATTTGGAATCTCAAGGAACATCCATCTGATATACATTGTATATTTTATAGATGTCCAATGGGTGTTTAGGGGTGAAAGAAGCTGGACTTCTATGAGATATTCCTTAGGGATATTTAGGAATATCTATAAAATATTGTTCATAGACATCCACGAAATGTGTTTTGAGGACATATCCACAAGATAGAAGATAGAAGTGCTAGGTTAGAATCCCTGGAAGAGCAAAGAATTTTTACATATCGAACGAGTTATAAGTTATAATGTTCGTAGCCGTAGCCTACTAAGGTGGCGTATGGAGTCAATAACAAAGCCTACCCAGAACACTAATGATCTGAAAGACCTCTCGTTAGGTCGATGGCCAGTTGGTATATACATACATATACCAACCAAAGTACATATACTACTACTATGTTTATTCATTGCATTTGAATAAGATGAGTAAGTAAGTAAGTAGTTAAACTAGGACATCATGACTACAGGCATAGGGAAATACACGCTTTAATCTTAACTGGAACGCGGCCTGTGTTCTAGCGGGGAAGTGGGGTAGCGGGAGCGCGAGCTTATCGAAACCGCAACAATAACACTTTAATGACAATAACAAGATTGAATTTTCATATACAGGGCGTTTGAGTTGATTGAAAATTGGAAAAAATATATACAGAGTGTCTCACAGTTCGCGGTCCCATGTTTTAGCATGGAAGAAGTGTTTGAGTTGAAATAAATATATACAGGGTGTTTCAGTTGATGAAAATTGGAAAAAAATATATACAGAGTGTCCCACAGTTCGCGGTCCCATGTTTTAGCATGGAAGAAGTGTTTGAGTTGAAATAAATATATACAGGGTGTTTGAGTTGATGAAGATTGAAAAAAATATATACAGGGCGGCCCATGGGGGTGAAAGAATACGAAAACGAAGATAAATAAACTATTTATTTGAGTAATCCTTTTCTACAAAAATGACATGCCTCTTGAGAAGATGGCGGTCCATCCCAGTGTGTGGTCCAATCGGGACGATTATAATGAACGAAGCATGGCAGTTTGATTTGTAGGTTAAAGTTGCTGCGATATTCTTGAGGAAGTTTGTGCCACACCCTTAATAGCCCATAAGGATCTGCATATTCAATGAGACATTCTACTGGAATGTACTGCAATTCTTGTTCAGTGAATTTCGTCAGAGTCAAAGCGGGAGATTTTATAAACTCCAATAGCACAGCTATTTCAGACTTCATGATTTTTCGAGCAGAGCTAAAATATTTCAGATGCTACTAGTTTCGCGTCAAGTTGTAGACTGATGAAATAAATAAAAAACGAGTCACATATTTCACAGGCATTTATTCAAATCAGCTATCAAATCATTTTTACAGTAATATAGATATTCTCTGAGAGCGTTACTAGACATGCTATCGCAAACATCACAAAACCCTAATATAAGTTCTTGTGCACTCAAAACAGTCAGTTTATTTTTTATCCATTCAGCTATTACATTCATAATATTCTGATAAAACATAAAAAAGTCCAAGTCATTGATTAAATTAACTCGATGTGAAACAATGCACATTTCAGCACTCAAAATGTCTGCAACATCTTCTTCCATCAGATCGAATATGACGTGGTATTTGGAGAGGGTCAACATTTTGACACCATCGCAGACATGTTTGGCTACGGTAGCATAGTCTCCACAAGCAGTAATGATCGGCTCATATTCATCAATAAAACCAGGTAGGGGTTGTTCAAAAAAGTCTTGTTGTGTCTTATGCAGCAAATCGATGAAGGTGGCCCATTCGTAAGTACTGAATGAAATTTTCGCTGGGTAGAAGGGCTTTTTCAGAATGATGGCCGGACTAAATTGTCTAGCTGGACTGAGTCCACACTGGATTGTGTAAGTGGACAACTGGAACGATGTATTCAGCAGGTGGTGTGATTCGGCTTTCGCTGCTTGTTCAATCATGTCCAAATATGTATTGACATCACCATAATAACCCATCATTGATGATGATGATCTAGAACTACCGTCTTCGAAAAGCACTTCACTAGATGAATAACCAGAGTCTTCACTCATTGTTCTCGAACTGATGTGTTGAAAGTTTCAGTCCTCATTATTTATACCATAACTGTTGACTGATCATAACATCCGGCAGATTGGAATAACAGGTTATTTGTTAGTGATCGATGAAAGGCCCTCTCATAGCCATTGAATGTGTGCTTCTTTTCCATATGTTTGCATTATAATTTATTGTTGGAATCAATCCAACTATTGTGTGTATCATCGAATCCCAACCATTTGACAAACACCTTTTTGCCTTTTTTTCTTAAAACTTTTTCCACTAGATAGATGTCAGGATTTATAGTTTTTTGCAATTCTTCAGGATAAAAAGCACCTTTGATCGGAGTACCATGCAAATCTTCCAAGAGATATGTAGTAGGTTTCGTAATACGAACTTTAACGATTTTAAATAGTTCAGTAGTCCAATTTGGCGTATAATTCTTTTCGAAAACATGTTTGGCTTTGCTGATTCTCACAATGTCACCAACGTTAAATTTTCTAATTCCAGTAATTTTTATGTGATTGTAGACGGATTTGAGAATGTCTTGTTCGTTGGCTTTGGTGATGTCACTGGGCTTGCATCTTATTATCGTATGTTTCGTGTTATTATAATTTTTCGTGATTTCAGGCAGGACATCTATCCAACGGTATGAGCCATTCAAACTAAAGTACTTGTATAGTTTTTCCTTCAATGTCCGTATAACACGTTCAGCAATGGCTGCCTTCATTATGGTGTACGTATGATAATGGTTGATGGAGAACTTTTTCATCAGACTTTGAAACTTTTCGTTGTAGAATTCGGTACCTTGATCGGTTTGCAAATTCTTGGGAATTCTGTTGTTGGCATGCGATAGAATATCAGCAAATGCACGAGCGATTTCAGCACCAGTTTTTGATTTTAGTGGTCTAGTCCATAGGTACTTGGAAAAACAATCAATCACGACCATTATCAGCTTGTGATCCTTATTTACAGAGGCATAAGGTCGCATTTCGGCTAGATCCATTTGCCATAAGTCATCCAAACCTTTGATGATAATGCGGCGCCTTGGAAATTTTTTCCTAGCAGGTCTATGTAATTCATTGACGAGTTGGATTTTTTCTTTAGAATGTGACATATTGACTTCGTTGGATTAGGAGTTTATATGATGGGTTTCACACAGGAGGCTTCCTTTTTGGTGGCGGTGGTGTTGTCATAGATTTTGGAGTGATGGCAATCTTGGCCAGATCTTTTTTCATTTGATCAATGACATCAGCAAGTTGGCGTTCTTTATCACGGCTGTGTTGGTGCTCAGCCTTCAAATCGTGCAAACTCTTCACAGTGTTGTCAATCTTATCGACAAGTTCTAGAATATTTTTCACATTCAAGTCGATGTCGCTTTCGAGTTTTGGTAGAGAGTTGTTGCGAAGCTGCTCCACATGTATGTTGATCTTGTGCACTATGCCAGACAACTGAACAAAGTTTGTATTGTACAATGTCAGTTTCAGATCATGTACATCCACTCTCTTCCTTTCTTCGATTATTTCGCTGCTGAAGCCAGCAAGGTAATTTCGGATTTTTTCACCGTAATTATCGAAAGCAATCTTGAAATCTAACTTTATTTGCGATATAACTTCATCCACATATTGTTTGTTTGCAACATCAGCGGCATCTGTTGGTAGTTTTACGTTACACATCTTCAAATGACCAACATCAATATCACCGGTTGGAGTATGTGAAAATCCAGATCTAACTGTCACCATCTGAGCTGAGCGTGGAAACGAACCACGTCCGAATTTGTCGAGACTCATTATGCTAATGACTAAAGTATTGTACGTTATCGATAATGGTCGGCACTTTGCCTCGCCAATTATTAGCCCCTTCACTCATAGACATGCCATGGACGTGTCACGGAACTGTCACAGAAGTGTCAAGGAAGTGTAACGGAAGTTCACGGAAGTGTCAAGGAAGTGTCACGGAACTGTCACGGAAGTGTCAAGGAAGTGTCACGGAAGTGTCAAGGAACTGTCACGGAAGTTGTCATGGAAGTGTCACGGAAGTATCACAGAAATGTCACACATGTTTTATTATGCCTGCCTCTTCTAATTCGTTCAAGATGGCAACAATCTCGTTATCGTTTGATGTATTTCCGGCTTGCTGTGATGCAATGAGCAACTTCAATCTATCTACCAATTCGTTTGGATCATCCCAATACATGTATTCGATAGGTGCTGTGTTGTATGTCAACTTCAAACCACGACCACTGGAATTGGATCTGAACATTGGACGAATAATTTCTACGTATTTGAGTCTAGAGGAAGACTTCATACGTCCTGCAGAATTCAGATGAGCTTTGGTGAGCAAGAGTATTTGCTTGTATGGGTTCGTATCATCTTTGGCAAAGGATGGATCATTATAGAAGAGTAATTGATAGAGGCCTGGGGTGCCACGGAACCGAAAGCCATCAAGAAGTATATCTCCAGTTCTTCGATGGAAATTCATTTCTTTTCCGTTGAGAGACCATTTCGATGTTACTGGATCATATTTGGGACCATAAACCGTATCGATATTTTCATCATTTGTCCAGTATTCAGTCAGATATTTTTGAGCCATCGCAGGATACTGATCAACGTAATCATGTATTGCAGCCGGTGAGATATTTTCACTATCTACAAAAAGTTCATCATCAGCATCGTCATAACCATCCTCATCATCATCTTCAGTATTCCCAGCATTATCAGCCACATCCATCATAGGTATGAAATTAGTTTGATTCAAATCCGATTGCTCCCTCTCCACCTCCCCATCCTCTTCCTCCTTCTTCTCCTTCTTCTTCTCCTTCTTCAACCCCAACGATTTTGCTCTGCTTCGCTTGATGTTTGAAAGCGTTCCATCGAGTT